TCAAAGCCTAAAAATATGAATTCTTGTTATAGGTTTTTTGAATCTTGCCACAGTGAAGTTACTGCTCTCTAAGACTACTTACTAAAAGGGATGAAGATATTTCCTATATGGTATTTGAAGTCTTGTACTTACGGTTCCAAAGGCTGTTGGATTATACCACTGAGATTACATGTTTGTTAAAGTGTGTGTGTGTGTGTGTGTGTGTGGTAGCAAGCTATGATGTTAATACTTGGTTATAGGAAATTGCTTTTGTTTACTAAAGTTGTGTTGATAACACATTGGACTTTGATTTCACCACTCCAGTTTTAATTTCCTCAACTAATTTTTTTAAGTGTTTATTTTTGAGAGAGAGAGAGATCAAGCACCCGAGCAGGGGAGGGACAGAGAGAGAGGGGGAGTCATAGAATCAGAAGCAGGCTTCAGGCTCTGAGCTGTCAGCACAGAGCCTGACTCGGGGCTCGAACTCATGAACCGTGAGATCATCACCTGAGCTGAAGTCAGACGCGTAACCGACTGAGCTGCCCAGGCACCCCTTACTCAACTAATTAAAAGTGATACATTTCACTTGCAGTTACAGTTCCTGGCAGAGCATTCTGCACTCAAGAGGTCAGCTTGCTCACTGCCCTCGCCTCAGCACAAGTAGTCACCCCCTTGCCCTAGTGTAAGTAGGCTCATCCTCACCACCCCAATCACTTCCTGCGGTTTTCCCATGTCAATAAGTCCAAAGGACATTGTTCAGCCTTTATTACTAGACCTAGTGTCATCATTTTACACGGTTGACCCTTCCTCTGTGGAAACAGGACTTTATCTACACAGCATGTTCAATGCCGTGGAGCCTACACAGTCACAATATGGTCACAAGGGATTCACTGAGACAGATGCCTCTTCCTTTTCTTCTGTGTTACTTTTGAGACCATTAAGTGCCGTGGCGATGGGGAAACAGGTCTTTACAGCAGGGACACATTCCTGAGGGGCAGCTCTTTGCCTCAAAGCCAAATCCGTAGTGATGAAACGTCCCCCGCGAAGGAGGGGGCCCACAGAGGCAGAGAGACCCTTCCGGCTCCAAAGCTGCCCTCCTGGAAACAGAATTAGCACACATGGCTCCCTTCTGCCATTTTCTCCCTAACTCCAGGGAGCTGGATGAGTGGAAGAGCAGAACATCAGAGGAGCAATTTATTTAATGAGGAGTGATGAGAAGCCATCCCCCAGGGACTTGAGAAACCATAAATACTTCCTCAGCATCCCGCCCCACAGTTGGGTGCCGCCTGACCAAGAGGGGACCACGCCTTGCCTTCCACCGACCTGACGTGGTGATAGGTTCCAGCCCCCACCTTTCTCTGGTCGAGTCTATCTTCAGCATCCAACAGAGGAGAAAGAGCTGGCACAAATATTTCTTTATGCGATGCCAGCCAATTGAGTCACACTGTCCTAGTGAGTACTAGGTATGACAAGGTGGATTAAAAATGGGGTGGGGGAGGAGGTAACAGGGTTGGTAAGGACTCATGGCCCTGTTTATTTTTAACTTCTGGAATTGATTTCTCTGATTATTTATGTCTTCTTAGAGTCCGCTGCTGCTATTTCTGTCACCTCCAGTTGTAATGTGCCCTCATTCTGGAAACTAGTGACTTTCTTTCCTCTTATGAGGAAGTATAACTTCCCTTTCCCCCTTTTTTGTTTCCTTATTTTTTATGGTTTAATAATGGATCTTGGATTAACAGTGGCATTAACATAGCTATTCTTGGGGTGCCTGGGTGGCTCAGTCAGTTAAACATCCAGCTCTTGATTTCAGCTCAGGTCATGATCTCATGGTTTGTGAGATCGAGCCTTGTCGCTGTGCTGACAGCGAGGAGCCTGCTTGGGATTCTCTTGGAATTCTGTCTGTCTGTCTGTCTGTCTCTCTCCCTCCCTCTCTCCCTCTCTCCCTGCCCCTTCCGTGCGATCCCACATGCTTGCTTGGTCTGCCTCTCTCTATGTCTCTGTCTCTTTCAAGAAAACACACACACACACGCACACACACACAAAACCAAAAAACCTTAACATAGCTATTCTTTACCACCTTTTAGTAGTATCCTTCTATGCCATGTGACTAAAATTTTACTTTGCTCCCTTTCCATCGATAATTATTATATTTTATTAAATGTATTTTGATTTGTTTTGAAGCTATAATTATTTTCTGCATTAATTGATTTATGCTTCATCTTACTCCTTTTTCAGTTTACTGCTTCTACAGTCAACGTGAGATTAGCCTGCAGATTTCTTGTTTGTGTTACATATGATCGTTTTTGGTTTCAACTTTTATTCCGCTTTCCATGCTCTTCGAATACAAAGCACTGGGCATATACAGAAAAGTAAATTTTATAACATGTGACCTGAACTTGTGTGGTTTAAAATTCAGTGGTGAGAGGGACAGATATTAATCAAATAATTCCATAAGTAAATACAAGTATAGAGCTATGATCTGTGCAGTGAAGAAAAAAGCAGGAGGCTATAAAGGCATGGATTAGGGGACTATACCCGGTGGGCAGGGAGGGTTCAGGGAAGGCTCTTCTGAGGAAGTGATGATTCATTTGAGGAATAAGGATAGGGATGGTCATGGGAAGGCAAAGCCATGGAAGAGCCCCAGCAGGGAGGGCAGTGCTTACACAGGCATGGCTGGGGGAAGAATCATAGCATTTTTAGAATTCCTAAGAAGGCGAAGGTGTTGGTTCTTCAAGAGTGAAAGGCCAGTGTGGTGCTTAATAAAACTAGAAATTTGGAAGGAACCAGCATGTGCAGGCAAGCCTGGAAAGGCTGTTAAACAAAAGAAAAATCTCAGACCAACCCCCCTTGTGGGCACTGAGGCAGACATTCTCAGATGAAAGCACCTTCCAGAGATTTGTGTTTGCTTCTGCCTGAGATCTAGAATGTAATTCATCCAGGACACTTCAGACTAATTCCTCTGGCTGAGGCTTCTAGGGGAGGGTGAAGGCGAGCCCCATGCTGCAGTGTTGTTAGAAGTCTGACTCTTTCTTGACACCGTCTCATGGGTGGGTTCCCTTCTATTTTTTCCACTGGGCATTGTGTGAACATGCTATTTTTTAATTTTTAATTGTGACCTCCTTTCACATTCACAGAAAAGTTGAAAGAATGATATAAATAGCTCCTATATCTATTTTTTACCAGATCGCCCAAATGTTAAATTTTGCCATCTTTACTTTTTTCTTTATCCACTTTCCTCTCTTCCTTTTCTTCATGTGTATGTGTTTTCAGAACCATTTGTAAATTGCACTACAAATGTGGTACCTCTTTACCACTAACTCTTTGGTATTTCCTAAAAACAAAGGTATTTTCTTCACATAGCCACAGTACAATGATCAAAATCAAGATAGTAGCATTGACCTAATGCTACTATCAAATTTACAGGATTTCCACAGTTACAGATTTTGACGGTTATCCTAATAACGTCCTCTACTGCAAAAGAAAATCCAAGATCATGCATTGCATTCGGTTGTCATGTCACTTCCTTTCTTTTTAAGTTTATTTATTTATTTTGAGAGAGGAGAGGGGCAGAGAAAGAGGGAGAGAGAGAATCTCAAGCAGGCCCCACCCTGGAGCCCAACTTGGGGTTTGCACTCACAAACTGCGAGATCATGACCTGAGCAGAAATCAAGAGTAAGATGCTTAACCTGCTGAGCCACCCAGGCACCCAGCTTGACATGTCTCTTAAGCTTCCTTTAATCTGGAACAATTCCTAGAACTCTCTTTGTATTTGATAACATTGGCATTTTGAAGGGCACATGTCAGAAACTGTGTAGAATGTCCCTCAAATTTGGGTTTGTGTAGTGCTTTCAAGTCTTTAGATTGAAGTCCTGCATCTTTGGCAGGAATCTCATAGAAGTAACATTGTCCTTTCCAGTGCCTCCTACCAGGAGATATGTGATGTTGCTGTGTCCTATTTTGAAGCTCCACGGCCATATGACAGGACTATTATAAAATGGATGCTTATTTTGGGGACACCTGCCTGGCTCAGATGGTGGAGCACCCAACTCTTGATCTCAGGGTTGTAAGTTTGAGCCCCATGTTAGGTACAGAGATTACTTAAAAAGTAATAAAATATTTAAAAAGAAATCATTTTTAAAAATAAAATAGAATGGATGCTTGGGGCAGGGCGCCTGGGTGGCTCAGTCGGTTGAGTGTCTGACTTCAGCTCAGGTCATGATCTCACAGCTTGTGTGTTTGAGCCCCACATCCTGCTCTGTGCTGACAACTCAGAGCCTGGAGCCTGCTTCAGATTCTGTGTCTCCCTCTCTCTGCCCCTCCCCCACTTGCACTCTGTCTCTCAAAAATAAACAAACATTAAAAAAAATTTTTTTAAAGAATGGATACTTAGGATAGGTGATTGGGAATACTAGACTCTATTTTGTAGGATTCCATTTTGATTGTGTTATAAAATGGATTTTTTTTGAAATATAGCTGAGACACACAAAATGGATATTTTAGCTTTTTTTCTTTAGTTTTTATTTAGATTCCAATTAGTTAACATACAGTGTAATATTAGTTTCAGCTGAACAGTATAGTAATTCAACATTCACATACAGTACCTAGTACTCATCACACATGGGTGCCTTCATTTCATCATTTATTTCACCCCTCCCCCCACCCACCTCCCCTCTGGTAACCATCCATTTGTTCTCTATAGTTAAGAGTCTGTTTCTTGGTTTGTCTCTCTCTCTTTTTTCTTCCTTTTTCTCATTTGTTTTGTTTCTTAAATCCCACATATGAGTGAATCATGTGGTATTTTCTTTCTCCGACTTATTTCACTTAAGATGGGTGGTTGCCATAAGAGACTCCATTTTTTAGGATTTCACTTATAAGTGAAAGGGCACCCATTTAGACAAAATGATGGACTTCATAAATAATTTGAGTAAAAGGCATGGTCAAGATTTTTGTTATGTGGAGGGTGCCAGTTTTCTACTAGTTGGTGTCGCTCTTGTCTCTTCCTTCATAGATTTATCAGGTACATGGAAGAGGGAAACCAAACGGGAATTTTAGAGTTCATCCTCCTCGGGTTCTCTGAGGATCCAGAACTGCAGCCCTTCATATTTGGGCTGTTCTTGTCCATGTTCCTGATCACTGTGCTCGGGAACCTGCTCATCATCCTGGCTATCTGCTCTGACCCCCACCTCCACACCCCCATGTACTTCTTCCTCTCCAACCTGTCCTTGGTCGACATCAGTTTCAGCACCACCATAGTGCCCAAGATGCTGGTGAGCATCCACACAGAGAACAAAGCCATCTCCTATATGGACTGCCTCACGCAGGTGTATTTTTCCATGTTTTTTCCTATCCTGGACACTCTACTCCTGACCTTGATGGCCTATGACCGGTTCGTGGCCATCTGCCACCCCCTGCACTACACAGTCATCATGAACCCACGCCTCTGTGGCCTGCTGGTTTTTGTTACCTGGTTTATTGGTGTCATGACATCCCTTCTTCATATCTCTCTGATGATGCATCTGAGCTTCTGTAGAGATCTTGAAATTCCGCATTTCTTCTGTGAACTGACACAGATTCTCAAGTTGGCCTGCTCTGATACTTTCCTGAACAGCACGCTGATATACTTTATGACTGGAGTGCTAGGTGTTTTTCCCCTTGTTGGGATCCTTTTCTCCTACTCACGTATTGCTTCGTCCATAAGGAAGATGTCTTCAGCTGGGGGAAAGCAAAAAGCATTTTCCACCTGTGGGTCTCACCTCTCAGTCGTTTCTTTATTTTATGGGACAGGAGTTGGGGTCTACTTCACTTCTGCAGTGACTCACTCCCCCCAGAAAGTCTCAGTGGCCTCAGTGATGTACACTGTGGTCACTCCCATGCTGAACCCCTTCATCTACAGCCTGAGGAACAAGGACGTGAAGGGGGCCCTGGGAAGGCTCCTCAATAGAGCGGCTTCTTGTCTGTGATGGATCTGCTGGCCCAAGACTAAGAAGTTTTATGGATCCCAAGGGCAAAAACTTTGATTCTGAAGTTTACTCTTGAATCTTACAAACCTTTCACCCAGTCCTGAAGGATCTGGATCTCTCTCCAAGGTTTTACAAATCTTTAAACAGCCAATTTCTGCATAATTTATCTGATGATTTTTCTGCCCTATCTGTTGTCCCAAAGTTATGTCCTCTATCTTCTTACTTCCTCATTGGTGAGCTCTAACTTGGATTTGGAGCATTTACTTCAGCTTTGTTGTCTGAAATGTTGACAGAGTGCAGTTGTTTACCTTAACTTATTTCTATGTGTTTTATTGTGCATTTGTGTTGTACATGTGCATGTATTACCAACAGTGTTTTGGGTTGTTTTTTTTACTGATAAAATATAATCAAAATACAGATTGAAATACAGTCAGTGTTTTCGTGCTTATTATATGGTACACCTATGTTAACTGCTCTCTATTTTCTTACGTATCTTCCTCAATGGGAATGATTACTGTCTCCATTTAGAGGTGAGGAAATCTGAGACTCTAAAGAGCTCAAAACAACAGAGGGACCAAGTGGCAAAACCAGGATTCAAATCCAGAACTCTGACCCTGAACCCGTATTCTTACCTAACATCAATGTGTACATCTGAATGGTGGATTTTATTGCTTGGTTGACAATATTTCTGGCTATCTTCTCCTTTTGGATATTCAAGAGAATAGCATTTTCTTTCTCCCTTGAAATTAAAGCTGGTAATGATATGTTTTGATGCATCCAGTAAAATGTGAGTGGAAGTACGATGCATCCCTTCTAGGTTAAAACAATATAAGAGCTGGTATGTTATTCTTCGTATTCACTTTTCCCTTGATATGGCTGTTGTGGAATGAAGCAATCATCAGATCCAAAGAGTCTAGAAAGCTGGCCAATAGGCAGAGGACTTCCCTGGATTGTTGCCCAAGTTGGTAGATACTTTTCATGAAAAGGAAATAAGCTTTTGTTTGATTAAATCAGTGACATTTTAGTTCTGTTATATATGCTGTTGCTGTTTCAACATCAACATAGCCTAACTTGCCTGACTGTTACATATCCCAAGGCTGGAAATCCAAATTTGAGAGTTTACCTACTCTGATGATTTTTACTGTTATTCTGAGAGTAAGTCTGAGATCTCCTTTTTCATTCCTTAGCAATCCTTCCACTTTTGGGGGAGAACTTTAATTCAATTTTGCATTAATGCTTATATACACACACACATATACACATACAGAAACATTTGTTTATATATGGCCTGAATCCTCGAAAGAGCAGAATTCATTTATTATTGTGCCAGAAATGCTCTTTCAATGGGAGATAAGTTCCTCTGAAGTAGGAATCAGGTATAACCTAAAATAAAACTAGCACTGTCCTCTTGCAGGATGTATCACATTGTCTAACTGGGCCCCTTAAGAATATTGAGTCTAATTCCCAAAAATGGAAATTTGAGGGGCATGTAGCTGGGTCAGTTGGTTGAGTGTTCAACTTTGACTCAGGTCGTGATCTTGCAGCTGTTGAATTCAAGCCCTACATTGGGCTCTCTACTGTCAGCGCAGACCCTCTTTGGATCCTCTGTCCCCCCCTCTCTCTGTGAGTCCCATGCTCCTGTGTGTGCTCTCTCTCTCTCTCTCTCTTTCTCAAATGAATAAACATTTAAAAATGGTGATTTGAATAGGGTTTTTAACATAAAATTCCGTTGTGTTAGTGTTATAATTCATAATCTCCTTCCAGTTTGTTATGTGATATCTCTGATATGTCATGATATGGGTTGTGATTTTGCATCATATTGTTAAAATTTTTGTCTATGTATTATAACAAATATATTTTCAACAGTTCTTTCTAATAGTTCAAATATATTTTTTCTTTAAAATAATGTTTATTTATTTGTTTTGTGAGAAAGAGTACGAGAAGAGGAGGGACAGAGAGAGAGGAAGAGAGAGAATCCCAAGCAGGCTCTGCACTGTCAGCATGGAGCCCAACGGGGGGCTCAATCCCATGAACCACAGGATCATGATCTGAGCCGAAATCAAGAGTCAGACACTCAACTGACTGAGTCACCCAGGCACCCCTCAAATATATATTTTCTTTTTTAAAATTTAAAATTTACTCCACCTATGATATATTTCTGTTCAGTGGGATGAAGAGATCTGTTCATTTCATATGAAAAACAAATTTCTTCTAATAGTTTATACTAGTCTTTCCTTCCCATTGACTTGTAAAGCTACTTTCTAATTCCCAAATTCTCAAACTACAATTTTCCACCTATTCTGAGATCAGGCATCTGGTCTGATCCCAGCTATGCCATTTACACCAGTTTGGTCAGCTTCTCTGTACTTCCGTCACTCATCTCTAAAATAACAATAACAGATGTCAGGGGTGCTGTACATATTAAATGAGCTAATAATGATAAAGACTATGGTGTTTACTCTTGGCTTTGTTAGTAAGTTTTATGGATACTGTTACATGTTTTTATATTCATACTGCTAAACCAAGTCTTTGACTTAGGGAGCCACCAGATACTTAGCACACCTTTTACAATTGCTATTTAAGTATTCTGATCAGCAAAGAACATGTAGTTCAGACGCTCTGAGAGGGTAAATGTTTCTTGCCTGCCCCTTTGCTTTGAGCTCACTGACCAGGACAATAAGAATAATATTGTTGTCCTGCTGACCCCAGGTTGGCTTGGATCCCATAATAAACCCTATTTTTGGAGTGTACCATCCATCAGTATAACCATGTCCTTCTTTCCCACTATAGTGTGGGTGATCCATTTGGACTGAGTAAGTGCTTTTGAAAAGAAGAGTGTCTAATATGTGCACGGAGGGGCTTTTGTTAGCGGTAACTTCAGGAACAAGGACAGTAATGGCTAAGAGAGTCTAGTTAAATATCCCTAGAGATTTGAAATTTGTGGCTTTGAAGGGGACTTCAGATTCTGGAGTGGATTAGATGATGATGATGATGATGATGATGATGATGATGATGATTGAGAGCAAACATGCTTATCTTATTTATAAATTTAATGGTTGATACATCTCATCAACTCTATCCCCTCAGATTATTAACCAGAATCTGACATTCATTTCCAAATTTCCAGGAGAGAAACTTTAGCCAGGTTGGACCAGACACCACTCTCTGATCCAGTTAGACATTGGATCACAAGGCTATCGAGCAAAGTGGGGCCTGAGCGACACCAACACCCACAGATCTGCTACAATATGAAAGAAACGTGGGGAGAAAGCAGAATTATCCAAGAGGCAAATTTCAGCTCGAAAGAAGGAAGAATGTTCAAACAAGTGATGTGCTGTATTTCAAATGTACTGATTCTAAGCTGGACATCCCAGAGGTTGATGGTCCATTGAGATAGATCTGAAGGCAATGGCTAGTTTGTGATAAAGATCATAGATTACCCCCGTAATGATACACGTACAAGAAAATGGCATCTGTAATCCTTTTTTTGATGAATGAATATCAGATTGTTAATGAAAGTGTGTAATTGTGTTTTTCTTTGGGTATTCATATCATAAAAATATTTTTACATCTGAGGGCTCCTATTCAGAATAACATTTGTTGTTGTTGTTGTTGTTAAGTAGGTTCCATGCCCAACGTGGGGCTTGAACTCATGACCGGAGACCAAGAGTTATATCAGCCAGACGCCCTTTCTTTCGTTTGTTTTTAAGTTTTTGTTAACGTTTTTTATTCATTTTTGAGAGACAGAGACAAAGCACAAGTGAGGGAGGGGCAGAGAGAGAGCAAGACACAGAATATGAAACAGGCTTCAGGCTCTGAGCTGTCAGCACAGAGCCCAACATAGGCTCAAACCCATGAACCCTGAGATATGACCTGAGCTGAAGTTGGACGTTTAACTGATTGAGCCACCCAGACACTGCCCTATTTGTTTGTTTTAATTAGCATTGCTTTGCCTGTTTCCTGGCAGAATTATCAACTACATGGATGCAGGAAACCAGACAGGTGTCTCAGAATTCTCTTCTTAGGACTCTTCTCTTTGGGATGTTCTTGTCCATGTACCTGGCCCCCATGCTTGGAAACCTACTTATCATTCTGGCCATCAGCTCTAACTAGGACCTCTACATGACCATGTATTTCATACTCTTCCACATGTCTTTTTCTGATCTGTGTTTCAATTTCACCATGGTTCCAAAAATGCTGGTGAATATCCGTACAGAGAACAAAGCCATCACCTATGCAGGCTGCATCACTCAGATGTATTTTTTCATAGTGTTCGAGTATTTGGACTTTTTTCTGCAGACCATAATGTCCTAAGACCAGTTTATGGCCATCTGCCACCTCCTTCACAACACAGTCATTGTTTGTATGATCTGTATTTAGCCAATTTTTGTCTGACTGTACATAGACAGACTGTACCAAATGGTAGGCACTCAAATATTTGTCAAATTATGAGGGTGTTATGCTGAGCGAAATAAGTCAGGCAGAGAAGGACAAATATCATATGATTGCACATATAGGAGGATTAGGAGGAACTTAACGGAGGACCAAGGGGGAGAAGAAGGGGGGAAATAGTGGGGGAGAGGGAGAGAGGCAAACCATGAGAGACTCTTGAATGCTGACAAAAACTGAGGACTGATGGATGTGGGGGGGGGGAGGGATGGGCATAGAAGAGGACACTTGTGGGGATGAGCACTGAGTGTTATGTGGAAACTAATTTGACAATAAACTATTTGTAAATAAATAAATAAACAAATAAATAAGTAAAAATGGTAGTAAAATACCAAAAAAAAATTTGTCAAATTAATTAACAACTTTAAAAATTTTTTATTTAACAGAGAGAGAGAGAACCTTAAGCAGACTCTACACTCAGTGTGGATCCCAATGCAGGGCTTGATCCCACCATCCTGGGATCATGACCTGAGCTGTCAAGAGACAGATGCTCAACCAACCTAGCCACCTAGATGCCCCGAACCACCTTTTTGAAATAAATGTGGAATAAG